ATGTACTACTTTCTTGGTTATCGCCTCATCACTCAGCCGATGAATGCGCTTCGCAAGCAAACGATTGCTGATCACACTTTCCTGTTGGCTCTTGACGGGGACGTCGACTTCAAGCCAGCCGCACTTCAGCTTCTTGTTGACAGGATGAAGAAGAGCGACAAAGTAGCGGCTGCTTGCGGCAGAATCCACCCAAAAGGATCTGGTAAGAAAGACATGGCCTTATTATCGATATACAGCCTATTAGCTACTCGTAAGCTATTGTTTGAATTCTGGTCCAGTCATTTTAACATTTTGATGCCAATACTGCCTGGGCAGGAGTTATCGGAGAGCGGTTTACCCAAGGACAACTCATCCCCACTTTTCCTTATCAGAAATAAGACAGTTTTTTGTTATATCTGGCGATGGTACTCTATGCGGGTATATTATTGTGAACTTGACCTCAGGATTTCGGTACTAAATAAAATAAGCTGCCCCTGAAGAATACGCACTTTGTCGAATTAGTTTTCGAAACTAACTTTTAAAATTATCTTGCGTCTGTAAATTGCTTTGTTCCTATTGAAAGAAAACTAGTTGACAACTCCCAAATAATTCTGGTTGCAACATACGCTCAAAGGTGAGGTGGGCTATCAGGATATAGGCGATAATGACTCTCCATTCTTTATTGTTTTTTAATTGACTTGTCTTTTTAGAAAAGATACTTGAAGGATTTCCGATTACGTTCTCCACGGTTTTGAACTCAGTTTTTCCCTTCTTTTAGATTGGTTGCCATTCAAAGCTAGGTAGCCCACTTTACCTTATTTAACTGAGAGGTAGAAGTGGATTCATGCCTTTCCCAAAATCTATCCTGATATTTAGAAGGTGTCGGCAGTATCGCGGAAGTGAAAAGCAACAGACGAGGCCAGAATTTGAACTTGAATTTAAGGATTAAAAAAATCTTACCTGGTTCAAGACAAAAAAAAATCTCATCTTGTAGGAATAAAGCAGAGTAGGAGGAGCCAAGTACTTCCTCGAGTGGTAGAATGAGGTCAGCATTCTTCATAATGGATCATGTATATGTATTTGTACATTGCAATCCCAAAACAACTTGTTTTAATCCCCCTGTACAGTTTCATTTCATTTTTCTAGTTTTCCTATTACAGGTTGAGCATCATTTATCCGAAATTCCAAAATCCGAAAACCTCCAAAACGCGAAAGTTTTTCACGTGTTGACATGACTTGCCACAAATGGAAAATTTCAGAAAGCACTGGGAAGGTTCCTAGATGATATTCAGCTGCTCTAAGTGACCTCATCTGCCTTGGATGTGGGGTGGGGGGTTCCGCAGCCCAGCTACGTAGCCTACATTGACGACATTTTTTTTTGTTAGCGATCGTCACAGCAACACCTTCGTTCGTAGATTACTCACTAGGTGTTTTGTGCTCAGTAAAGATATTATTCAAAATGTCAAAAAGTCCTACATTTATATATATTTTTGTACGTAGTGATCATGTTTTTTGTACACTCACAGAAAGTACAAAACATTATTTTTAAGTGAAATCTTAATTTCACTACTAAGAAATCCATTTGAGTATTACATGACTAGTGTCATTAGCTGTATCTGTATTTACACAAAATTTTATATAAAACTACTTCCAGAGTATATATTATTTATATAAAACTACTTTCAGGGTATACGTATAATTTGTGTTATGAAATGTAAAGGGACATCGTGTGTATGCTTGGGTTCCATTCCCAAGCGGCCTCATTTTATAGATGCTATATAAAAATTAATGAGACTGTATTCCAAAATCCGAAAAATCTATAAACCAGAGTACTTCCGGTCCTAAGAATTGCGGATAAAGGATTCTCAGCCTGTATTATTATTATTATTATTATTATTATTATTATTATTATTATTGAGATAACAGTACGCCAAGAAATTGGTGCTAAGGTACAAATTAACGAAGCGCAATATACCCATCAAGACACCCAGTCTAATAAGAATATACCAGGTACATGTACCACAGCCAAATAGGGAGAAGTCTTGATAAAAGCGGCGTATGACGTTGTTACTGTGACCCATTGAGAAATACTTTCAGATCAAGTATCAATCGGTTCAGACGTTTTCCACTTGTGACTCTTCCCAAGTATCTAGATATGACTCCCAAGTCGCCTAAGCTGCCTCATCTTTCAAACTTAAAAAATGACCCTTTCAACATCCATTCATGATGTTCCTCTACTGCTCCCGCTCATGAACAGAGGTACACAGTGTGTCAGCCACCAGGAAATATGCTTAACGTCAGGCAACTGGCAAGCAAATGCCTGGTACTCAACTGTAGTCCAGGTTATTTCACCGATACAAAATATGTACATACTACACGTCTCCAATCAGTTAAGATCAGAAGCCATATTATAGAATCAGGAAATTTATTATTATTATTATTATTATTATTATTATTTCCTGCCAACCAGAGACCTAAGGTCAGAAATAGCTTTATTACATCTTATACTGATCTTTTTTCTTTTTTTTTTTTTTTGTATTAAAAGAAAACAAAGATCACGCACAAAGATCTTCGTTATATGTGAGCTGTACTTGTGAGTGCAATATGTTATATTTCTTTAATGCATGGACTACCAGGAATCGCTTCAATAAATCTATGGGAACCTTTTCCAATCAATCCGAGGACTTCAACTACAACTGGAATTATTGATGTCCTCGTGTACCACATTTTTGAGATTTCCACGATCCTTGTATTTTTGAAGATCTTTAAATATACATTACAGTCTACAAGGACTGTCATGTCAATAAGAAAACACATTCTGTCTGTATTGGTATTTGATCACAATGTCTGGTCCATTAGCTTTGATTGTTCTGTCTGTGTGTATTGTAAAGTTCCATTAAACTATTACAGGACCTATCTCCGTAACCGAGTCTGAGTGATGTTCATACCAGTTTCTTGCAGTTTCCTTTCCGTAAATGTCGCATATTTTTCAGTGCAGATATTAGCCCACTCTATCATACCGAGTTTTATATTCAGTGGGTGCTAAAACTGTGCAACCTGATACAAGATGGTCAATAGTTTCTGAATATTTTTACAACATCTGCATTTTGGATTAACACAATTTTTCTGTATGTGTGCTTGGTAATTTCTAGTTAGCAAGCATTTATCCCGTGCAGCAAGAATAAAATCTTCGGTTCCAACTTTTAATCCTGCACTACGTAACCACTAATGGGCATGAGGTTTATCTATAGCAGCTTATCTGGTACGGGCAGAGCATTGACCATGAAGACACTTAACTTGCCATCGTTTCCACATTTGGTTCATTACATTTGCTTTTGCTATCTTTTTTAGGTACTTTGTCGCTACAAAAGGTGTATTATGGTTTATTTGCACTTTTCATCCACTTGAAGTTCCCGTTTGAATTCGTTGATTTCCTTTACTACTGAATAAAGTTTCTTATTATTACTGTTGTTATTACTATTATTATTATTATTATTATTTCAGGTCCCATGCTTTGGTATCAAAAGTTTGAATACGCTATCAGTCATTGGCTACAAAAGTCAACAGAGCATATGATTGGATGTGTTCTTTGCAGCCCCGGATGTTTCAGCCTCTTCCGAGGATCTGCATTAATGGACGATAATGTCATGCGTAAATATGCAATTCCTCCAACAGAAGCCCGACATTATGTCCAGTATGACCAAGGTAAGATAGATAGATAGATAGATAGATAGATAGGGGAGAGAAAGAGAGACAGAGAGAGAGAGAGAGAGAGAGAGTGTGTGTGTGTGTGTGTGTGTGTGTGTGTGTGTTTTCTGGCATATGAGAAGCATAATTTACAAGCTTATTATGGTAACTTAAATATGACCTGTTTTGATTCTCGTCTTCAGGGGAAGATCGCTGGTTGTGTACATTACTGTTGCAACAAGGTTATCGAGTCGAATACTGTGCAGCATCCGATGCGGTGACGTTCGCACCAGAAGGCTTCAATGAATTTTTTAACCAGCGCCGTCGCTGGTCCCCTTCTACCATGGCTAACATCATGGATCTGTTGCAGGATTGGCGTCACGTTATACGCGTCAATGAAAACATCTCCGGCTTGTACATCTTCTATCAACTCATGCTGTTCGTGTCGGCGATGCTGACCCCGGGCACCATCTTCTTGCTGATTGTCGGCGCCGTAAGCACTGCCTTCCCATCCATTTCCCTGATTGAGTCACTTTTCATGAACCTTATTCCTATCCTTTGTTTTGTGGGAGCCTGCTTCCTGATTAAATCCGAAATGCAAGTACGTATGTCATTCACACATGCTTAGCTTTACTCTTCAACTGGCGTAATTAACAACGCCTATAGTAACCATTACTACTTTATCTGATTATTAATTATGTAAAGATTAAACTATATAGTCTTACTCATTCTATATCTCTTTTAAAGTTACGTCGATTACTTCTTTTTTTACAGTAAGGTCCAACCTGTACAAGTCCAGGCGGGGGGACACTCGAGGTCGTGATTTACGTTAAGGGGTAGTTTATATGGATAGGAGGGGAAGATAACGGTTGACATTACACTTGAACAATTTAAGATTGTAGTGATCGGGGAAACGCCCTCTTGGGAGTCTTCCCCAGGGCAGTGGTTTGCGGGAAGAAGCTGTTTGAGTGGAACTTACTTCTCGCCGATGAAATACGGAGGGAATGTTGGTGGGGTTTGCTACTATGTAAGTAGCATGGCGGATCCTTGTTGTGATGGTGAGACCTGGGGGAACCAAGAAATGTAGTTCGTCCGAGCACTTTCCATGGTAGTAGCGATAGACCAGTGAGAGATTCGCCATATCCCGCCTGTGACAGAGAGAGAGAGAGAGAGAAAGAGAAAGGCTGGAAAGTGATAAATAATTCTTCTCCAGCAAGGGCTCGGAGACTCTTTTGAATTCTATCAATACTGGAAAGTGAGGTCTAGGCAGCTCCTGCCCAAATATGGCAACAGTACTCAATTCTCGGCCTGCCAGTGACAGTACCGGTCTAGATGACTGCCGAAAGACCATACGTTTAAATAAGCAATTTTTATCGGCAAGGTATCCGATCACAGGATTATTCATCAGTGTACCTGTAGTAAAAACAGAACCAGTAAATAAACTTATACCAAAGTTTTATTGCACTTTACTCTGACTACTCGTCTACTGACGTATATTACAGGGTCCTTATTAAACCTCCTAGATCTTAAAGGGAAGGCAACTGATGATTTATCAGTATAGTACTAATAGATAGATTTAAAAACTATCTTTTTAGTTACAAAATTTCTAAGCCATTATTTACTATCGTATTATTTTTTATCAGTTATGCTTTTTTAAAAATAATGGGTTATATTCCGTGCTAAGGGAATAAATACTTAACACTAGGTGGATAGTAGAAGAAAGGTTTATTGTACACAATCAGTACAATATGAAATAAGGTACAGTTATACACACAGGTCAATCTAATAGTGAGTGCCACTAATTGGAAGGTCGGACGTGCTTGCGTCTTCTCTCTCTCTCTCACTCTTAATATTTAACAGCCCCCACCACAAGGGATGTATGCGGCACAAGGCCGAGTTTACCGTGGGTTCTCCGACCAAAAATATTTCTTAGAACCCGCATGAGCGGTTTCAGAGTCTGTCTATCTCCCCGAACGAAACTTTACCCTTCGGCAAAGCCTCGTCCGGGTTCCTCTCTGCTCAAGGCAAAGAGTTCAAGAGTGAAGAAACGGGAGAGAGCACTATTTTTTTCTCTCTCTCTCTCTCTCTCTCTCTCTCTCGTAAACAGTTGCTTACTACCTATAGTGTAATCATTCATGGGGGTGACTGGTTATTCCATTACATCATAATGATACTATTTACGCCTATTTACGTTATACTTATGAAATATCAAAAAATTTGTTGATCGGCATATGCTTGTTCAAGCTCAAGCATGCGCGAATATTGAACTAAACAAGATACACTATAATGAATATTATCATTTCTACGTCACCAGAACCGTTACCTCCATAGAGAATTCCATATCCTTTTAGACAATATGCTACGTGTATTTATATATTACTGCCGGTAACAAAGCAAACATATATATATATATATATATATATATATATATATATATATATATATATATATATATATATATATATATAATATTTCGAACTCATGTCCTTCAGGTAGTGAGAATGAAAACCGATCCAATACAGCAGCAACATTCTGATTAGTTCACGCGGTAAAATTATTTTACAAAAACTACGTTAGGCAAAAAAAACACGTACTGCAATGGCCCTCACCGAGAAACAACGGTTTGATCCTAAGAAGCGTGCACAGCCGTGTAATAACGGTTTTTCAAATAACCATAAACTTTCTACAGTTTGATATGTAATTATTGGAGGGAATCACAGTTTGGATATATTTGTTTAATAACTCCTACATGTAATATCATATGCTATTTAAATAGTTATGTATTGACATTAGATGTCGTTATTTTTATCCGTCTTCCAACAGACAAACACTGTACATATCGAGACTAGTTAGGACTTCATAGAAAAATGGTGGTATTTCGATAACAGTTGTAAGAATGGTATGCAAGATTGTGGCGTTACGGTGAACAGGATATTATCGGACGAGTGGGTCAGAAATTGAGACTGGTTAAGTGTTGTAGAATAATTTTCACAGTGGAGGCTTGTATTTCAATAAGTCGGTCCTAAAAGGGTCCGACGTACAAAACGTTAGGAACTTGCAATAATAGTTAATGACGCAGCAATCTAGTTGTGATGGTTGATACTTCAATGTCCGACATCGACTGACTCACTCAACTCCACTGAGCTCAACTGGCGACCGCTACTACGACTACTACTACTACTTATTATGTGTGGGAGAGTCTATTACAATAGAATAGGTAATGTTCTGGTATAACTCTAAGTTAAACGTAGGACATATTAAGACCAGCCTACCTCTTCCCTGAAGTTCGTCCTTGTGCCATACTTGAGGTAATATATTCATTAATAAATACCAATACTCGCCGAAATGTGTTGAGCTCTCCGTAGATAAAGAAACATCTACGGAGAGAGCAAACACAATTCGGTAAGTACTGATAACCAAATAGTTATATTAATTCATCTATTTACTGGTTATGACGATAAACTACATCCGGCAGCAAGGCCTCTGAGTGATTGGAGGTTTTGAGAAGCGTAGAACCACCTTTTAACTGCTGTTGCCCCCAGATTCACCCTGACCCAGGTTAGTAGCACCAGTTAGGGTCACAGCTATAGACAAATAGTGAACCCGCAAACATTACATTTTTATAATAAAATGACCAATGTATTTTTATAGCAAAATGACAAACTATACAATACTAAAAAAATATAAAAATATGTTTTTATAGTAAAATTACCAACAATACACTTTATGATCTACATACTATATAGCTGGGGAAATTGTATGAGAAAGTGGAAAAAGTTCACTAATGACGCGTTTCGTTCTTTCATCGGACTAAATTTATGCTGGTAGGACTACACATGCGCACGACAGAAGGATGCTGGGAGTTTTAGAATTTTTTCTATCAGCCGAATTCATTTAGAGTTTTTTCTTTTTCTTTCCATTACTTTTGTAAGTAGGTATTCCACATTGTGATATTAGAAGACCTGCCAAGAACAGGGAAATGTTGTAAGAGCCAGGGTGCAAATTTACTGTAGGTGGCCTTGCGATTAAAGCACTCTCGAGTAATTTACGTCGTAGTGAATTATTTTCTCCTTTGATCAGAGTAGCATTTTTTATGTCAAAATTGTGCTCAGTCTCGTTACGGTGGCAACCAACGCATTTGATGTATTATTTTGTAAAATGTCCTTTTTGTGTTCATAATAATTTTTTATTTAGATTCCTTGATGTTTCTCCTGTGTATTTTTTGTAATTAGACTATGTATCTAAAAAACCTTTACCCTGAGAGCATAAAATTATGTAAAATTGCGTGCGAGATATTTATATTTTGGTATTAAATAACCAAGGTTGATATGCCGCTAAACAAAATCAACCAAACCAAATCTATTTACTATTATTTATTGTATTCTAATGACATTAGTCTTTTGATTTTTCTTCTTTTTTCATCAGCTTATGTTCGCAGCCGTGATGTCTTGCATTTATACCATGGTCATGATGCTAGTGCTTGTTGGTCTAGCCCTGCAGATGACTAACGAAGGAGTCTGTTCACCGACCACAATTTTCTTCATATTCATGGTATCCATTTTTCTAGTAGCCGGAATACTACACCCGCAAGAATTCTTCAATCTCCTTCACGGTCCCCTCTATTTTCTTACTGTGCCCAGCACCAACATGCTTATGATGCTTTATGCTGTTTGCAACCTGAATATTGTCTCTTGGGGTACACGCGAAACAAAGCAAGCAGACGGGAGCGACACCAAAAACGATAACACCGAAGGCAGTTCTACGCAACAGAAATCAAAGGCCAGCGGCTGGATAGACCAAAAATGGTTTTCGTTCCTTAATCGCAAGCCAGGGTCCGAAACCAGTGACTACACATTCTCGTTTGGCAACCTTTTCAAATGTATGTGTTGTCCGAAACCAACTGAGAGGACTGACCACGTTAAAATGGACGCAATTATAGATAAATTAGAAAGGCTCGAGCGATCGATTCATGCGCTTGACTCTGAAGGGACAGAGTGCGTGAGTATTGGTGAGGAGGTATCGACACCAGATGGGGACCCGTTTTCGAAAAATTCCAAGCCCGGTCAGAATGCAAAATCGACAAAGACAGAGGAAGTCGAAGTGAATATATTCAAGAAGGAAACAGAAAGTGATTCAACTGGAAAAGTCGAATTTACAAATTTGGAAGCTAAGACAAATGGTCAGTATAACAGAGAGTGAAAGTGAATGCAATTCTATAATTATTCACAATTCATTACAATTATTTATAATTATTACGAAGGGTTTCATTTAGTACTCAGGAAAAAAGCAATCAATGGATTGGAATTATAAACAGACTATATTCTTTTTTCTTTTTTTTTTCTTTTTTGCTTTCTTTATTTAAGTCTTTTATTTCATTCAACGATAAATACATCTAGAGCAAGTCTCCACCCCCTTCAAAATAACTAAAATGCATATAAGACACAAAGACGCACGAACTAGTATAACTTATTTCCCGCCATTTGTTACGATCATGAAAGTTTATTTAGTGTCTACCACTCATTAGTTAGTGACCACAAAATTGTTATCTCACCACCTCTGTTTTGGTTTTCCACTACTTCTTTTTTCAGGCATCATACTTATAATATACAATTTAACGACCCTGGATTTAATATGTCTAAACATTTGATTAGCAAACATACGTGTTTAAAATTAAACAGATTTTTTATTCAGTCAGTTATGCGCCATACGCGAGATTTTTATTAACACGACGTATTATTTGTTTGCCCTCGCATTAGATATGATATCCTTAAATCTTACGAATTTATGGAATTAAACATTGTCATTATTCATTTTTTACTAAATTTCCTTTCATGCTTTTATAAATTTTCATTGTAGGGAACAGGACGGTTTTATAATCTACGACCATTAAGCAGAATCAGACTTAAAGAACTAGCTCCCAACGAGATTAGAACCTGCATTCTTTTTCATTCTTTTTTTTTTTTTTTCATCGGAAGAGCTTAGCGATTAGTCTACGAAAACTAATCAACATAATTAATTCAAATTTAGTGACATGGCCACATTCTTCCATATTTTGGTCCACGTTCCTTACCAAAAGTTTATAGAACATAAAACAATCCTGAACTTTATGATAAAGCAAACAAAAAATAAAAGGTAACAAAAATAATATATGCATACACTCATGTGCAATAGCCCTTTAAGTTCTAGTCGATTATAGTTCTCCACAGCTTCCTTTCTTTTCTTACTTTCTGATACTTGTCTCACTTTTCCTTTGCTCAAAATTTCTAGTAAGTTACACGCTGATCTTCGCCACTTCACTTACTGCCAATACGTTTTGTGAATGTTAAATTCTCGAAACCTTCCTTCCTAATTTTGCGGCCCAAAATTTCAACCGTCTCTTTCTGATTGTCAGCAGAGGTTTACTTATACTACTGCTCAGAAAACATGAAAAAAAAAGCTGGTAAACAATAATAATTATGACAATGCTTCAGAAAACTTAAGACTGGGTGTATAAGTAACAAAAATAAGATGAAAGAAAATGTAGAAATCGATAATAGTGACGAGGTATTATGTAAAAAAAATTAACTATTAATATTACGCCTGCTACTACTAAGAGTAAAAGTAACATATATAAGATGAAAAAAAACTGTTAAAAATTAAGCATATTAACAATTCAGGCAACTCAAAACTACTACGGCTTTGCTACTGCGAGGCAGCGGCAAATAATACGGCAATGAAATAAAATCGAATAAGTGTTAGGCTTAGTCAAAAATTAAGAATGTCTAAATATATATATATATATATATATATATATATATATATATATATGGAATATGTATAAATAATTTCTAGGAAATTATATGCATATTTTAATTCACGGATTCATTCATTATTTAAGTATAACTAATTATGTTCCTTTTTATACGATTTGTATGCTTCTTCTATTGAGTTTGACTGAATTAAAAATAACAGACATTTTATAATAATTTTATAATAAGTTATAATCTTTATAACATCAACAAAATATAATACTCGCTAGCGGCGTGAAGTAGGTAAACCACTTCTAGTGGTGAACTACTTAGACAGCATATTACCCCCCCACACACACTTACAATGGCGTCCAACATATTTATGAGGACTTGGGCATACCCATTAATTTTCAAAGGTACGGTATATAACAGAGAGAGAGAGATAGATAGATAGATAGATAGATAGATAGATAGATAGATATTATAGAAAAACTTTTTCGAATTGTCAAATCATTCACCTCTTTCTAATTTATCGTTTATTTTTAATTTCTACGTCAGATTGTCTTCCAACGATGCTACAACTGTCCACTGATACAGACGGAAATAGAATGTGGCAGCAGGATCCTGATATTAATACGAACAAGATACGATATATTAGCCGAGGTGAATGGGAATTTTGGGAAGACCTCATTGCCAAATACTTACATCCAATCGATAAAGATGAGGCGAAACAAGCAAAAATCGAAGAAGACCTACACATTTTGCGCAACCAAGTTTGTCTGTTCTTCTTCATCGTCAACGGCCTATTCATCGTGATCATTTTCACACTTCAGTTGATTAACTCTCAGAGTCAGGGGAAAGGACTGGCTATCCCTCTGCCTTGCAAATCAAGAACCGGGGTGCAGCTAACGATTGAACCTATTTCTTTGCTATTTATGATCATATTTGGCCTTGCGCTATCCATCCAGTTCTTTGCGATGGTCTTCCATCGTTTGGGGACACTCCATCATATCATTGCCTCAACTGATATCAACTGTCTCCGCCTCAATCAAAAGGAAATGGCGTCCATGGATATTCAAAGTAAAATCCAACTCGTTCGCGAATTGCAAGGTGAAAGTCGGGACGACGACGATACAAAATCGGTGGTTTCAACTGCGACATTGGATAGCATCGACGAAGACAGCTGGGCAGATGATGTGCCGAGGGTAAAACCGCGGAAGACGGTCATGAAAATAGTCCACAATAAAAAGTTAAACCAAGACACTAGCAACGACCTGGGGCATAAATTCGTTCTTAACTTTATGAAACTAGCTGACGATCTCCGTCAGACTGAAAACGATGATGAGGTCAGTAGCTCGAATGAGAAATCCAGAAGATCGGTGAGAAGGAAAAGTCGTAAAGCAAACTCAAAAGGAAGCTTAAAACTGAAGAAGAAGCAGTCGTTATACGCCCTCGCAAAATTAAAGGACGATAAAGAAGCTGTACTGACCAAAGCGGAATTCATCGGAGAGAAGTGGAAACTAGCAAAACAAAAGCAGAAAGAGAATCGCCAGCAGACATCAAGTTCAGAACGTAAGGACGAAGCTGGAGGTCAGGTTAATAATTCTTTTAATGTAAACAGTAACATTGCGATGACGACTAGCCAGCAACAGGCGACTTCACTCAAAATTATAAACGAAGAGGAGACATTGAAAAGGAACAAAGTCACAGAAAAGATTAACGCCGAGTCTGCATCGAATCCGGAGAAGCAAAATGGTGGACACGAAGCGGGTAGGTGCAAAACTACAATTCTAGTGACCAAGCCGAGTCTTGAGGACACAACCAGTAGTGCAGAACAAAGCAAATCTAGTACACTTGAATCAGGCTCTGCCCAGGACGGTGGAGATCGTCGTGTGACTGGGAGCTTGTTTGATGAAAGTGGACTCAGTGATGTCAGTCGAACAGACAGCGACATACAACTGATCAGCCATTATTTTGAAGGTATCGATGCACCTTCTTCTGAATCGAACCTTTCTGACGATGTTTCATCCCAATAGAATTTGATGCCATGCATTTTATACCACGCACAATGTAAGAAATATATTTTTTGAGACGTTTAACCGCATTCCATTAAGAAATGTACACTTAGTACAAATAAAAAGAAACAGCTGATTTTTATAGCAGATTGTGACAATTAATTCTATCCAATCGTTTATATATCAGTAGTTATGCCTGCCAACCTCTTGAAGGGACACGGCACATAGAAGAAGAAATGATGATCATCATTTATATATATTTTCCCTGCTGTCTTCTATAAGATGTGTTTGCCTTAGTGTAATAAAGAGGTGGATCAATTAAGTCCGCTGGCTGACACGTAGTTATTATCTGAATTTTGATCTGAAATTTTCACTGTATAATGTTCGATTTATATGCATTGCCTATCGTTTACTGGGCTCATGGTCACGTAAATAGAGAACGACTTGAATAAAACAATTGACTAAACGGAATAAGTCGAATTGACTAAAATAGTAACGTAAGCAATATTTTGACAAGTACACCACAGGCCAAATTAAATAATTGATCGCTATAATTGAAACTATTGTTACTAGTTTATCTACTGTTAAGTTTAATTAGATTGAATATAATTGTTTATTGAAGGCAACTCCTGCACAATAACAGGTGAGGTTATCGTATCTAAATTATTAGTTGTTATTCTTAAGTTTTTTTATCCATTCTTTACCATTGTAATTATCAGACTTGTACGTGTGTTTATCAATTTCATTTTTAGTCAACTGTTTTATTCTAGTCGTTGTCTACCCACCAGGATCGCCCGTGTGCTCGGCAAACGGTAGTCAAGCTGAAGAAGATTAATTTGAAAAAAAAAAAAGATTATCGTGCAAAATAAATGCTTTTTATCATTAAATTTATGACTTATTGACGTATTTATGTAAATCGAGTCTGTCTTTCGAGATTTTTTGTATGGTGTTTTGTATATTCTCATATTTGAATATTATGCTGCCATATTACCTTGTTAACATCATGTTCTTTTTAGCTGTTTTTGCTGATTTTATCATATATATACGATTGTCGGCGATTTGTGTTACACAGAGCCAATGAACACTTCAGCTATATTTGTTACAAAATCAACGTATCAACAATATATGTAACTGAATCTTGCGCTGATGTGAAGTCTTTCTTGCTGATTGGTTTGATGCACACCTGGCTTAAAGATGTTTTTTTACAATGATGTACAAGGCCCAAGAGCCACTCGTGGTAGAGAGATACAGAGTAAGAGTTTATGCAGATATGTTGACAAGATAACGGTTAATCCTAGACTTGAAAAGGTTAATATTGTAGTAATCGGGGAAGCATCCTCTTGGGAGTCGGTTCCACAAAGCAGTGATTCGCGGGAAGAAGCTGTTATTCAGGCAAAGCGAGGAACTGCACGTTATGGGGCGAGTTTCTATATTTTTTGGTACTTCAGTTTATGTGGATTGTTTTGTTAGGATCGAGGAATTATCATTATTTACACGTTGACTAATGTCTTCAGTCTTGTTGTTATCACATATACCATATATGGGAAGCATTAATAAATAAAGAAAAAGAAACAACAGCGGAGAGAGTCAGATTTAACAGCGGCTGCAGGAAAGAGAAACGGTAGGCGAAGGAGACCAAGCGTAGCAGCAGTAGGCAAGCAGTAGGAACATTAGATTTAAGGCTTCCAGTTCTATATTCCGGATTGTCCCATAGGACAATAGCCTAGTGGATTAAAGTATTGAATTTGGTGACATAGCAATTGTGAGTTAAATCTCTGGGCCGAATAGTACAGAGATTCAGACTTAGTGGAAATAGGACGAGCAATAATCGGCCAGTACTAAAATAAAAACAAACAGAGATATCCGTAGACATAAACAACAAAATTTCCTTGTTGTTCCTACTGACGTCCTTGCTGCCAGGCTTGACTTTCTCCATCGTCTATTTCTCTTTCTTTCTTTCTTTCTTTCTTTATTAATGAATCCCATCTGTTATTTATTTCTATGCTAGGCCTAGTGAAGAGGTTTTCATAGCCTAACATATGCGCTGATTCTTTTCAGACGCCCGGCTCTTCTGTGTTTTCTAGTATTTTTTGCTTAATTTCGCAAGGGTTGATGACCACACTTTTCCATTCATATATAATCAGCCATGCATAATTTCATTGCCTTAATTACGGCTTTTCAATTTTCCTCCAGGGGTCGGCTATTTCCCCCTTTATATTCTTTGCCACAACTACACGGGATGGAATAGATATAGTTCTTAGTTATCTTCTTCTCTGTGCTTGGTTTAAATAGACTGGTATCTAGATTAACCCCCGGGATAATAGCCTAGTTGGTGAAAGCGTTTGTTCGTAAGTTTGGTGGCATAGTAATAGCGAGTTCAGTCCTTGGGGCGGGAATTCAGAGACTCGATGAAAATAGGGCTAGAAATAATTGAACAGTATTAAAAAGAGAACAAAATGAGTTCAACAGTGGAATGAAAAGAATCTACCGTCAGTGATTAAATAAAAGGTTCAGTCCGAAATTCCTAGAAGGCTACTCGGATCGACAGATACGGAAGGACATAACAATCAAAATATCTTGATAATTATAACGAAGACGGTGATGCTGATCGGGGATTCAAATAATGTCATTTTATAAACAAAATGTTCTTTATTAGCTTCAACAATTTCCGGAAAACTTCGCAAAAGAATTTATTTTAATCAAGCAATAACTACATTTTTAATATATCTTCGACATGACCAAAAAAAAGATATTTTAAAATATCATAACACAAGGCATTCACTTTTAAAAAAAAATTACTGTGAAATGAATTCTCTTTTAAACATTATCACGTTTCATAGCAAACAGACATTTTTAACAAAGAGAAAATCGTGTATTATTAATAATTTGGGGTTGGCATCTTATTATTCTTTGTTTTTTATCCCAAATCCAAGATCGTCATTCTACGACCATTAAATAAGCAGCGTAGCACGAAAATAAAGAATAAATAATTGGTGATATTTGAACGAAGAAACTGTTTCTTTAGATTTATTCTCAGCAAGCTTCGCAAATAATCCATAAGCACCAAATTGTAAAATATATTAAAAATCGTTTCTGCATAAGAATTGTGCCGGTACTTTTGCATTAATCAGCATAAAAATGTTTCAATGTTTGTAATGTAAGTTGCTAAATTCACAGTAGACAGGGTTCTTTCATTTAGCGGAAAGGAAGAATTGTTCAAAAAATATAATTGTAACTTTACAAACGGAAAATCAGAAAAAAACGAAATATTCTGACTATTTTGAATGAATTGAAATATTCTATTATAAATGAAATTCAATATTATGAAAATTATGATTCATGAATAAACTGAAATATTAAAAATGAATTAATTAGTTTAGTATCCTCCATGAGATCGCTAAAAAAAACCCTAGCCTGATGATAATGATGCCAAAGTTGACGAAAACAAAATTTTATCGTCAAAATGTTTATTTTATTAAGAGAAAATAACAAATTATTTTTAATTATTTAAAAAAAAAAATCCCTTCTTTTTAGAACAGTCTAACTTTTGATTAAAAAAACCTTGTTCTTCTTTGTATCAGCGGAACTACTAAATAACATAAAATTTTAGCGCGTTTTTTATTTTTTTTATTTTATTTTTTTTTTTTTTTTTGTAAGACGAACATTAATTTGGAAAAACTTGCAAAAATAAAAATAATTGTGAGATTTTAATGAAACGTTCAAAAACTATTCACAAATAATGGAAATTATTATAAATATGTTTTCCTTTTTTAAAGTAACAGCAAAAATATTTTTATATTTATTATCCCCCTAACTAATTTTATGAAAACTCTAGAAATTCAAAAATCTACATTTTAGTGATTATATTAGTTAAAAGCAAAAGGAAAGCAAATCATGGTTTGTTTTTATTTTTTTTAATTGGACCACCTTTACCTGGAAATCATCTCAGTAGTATAACATACAAGACTCAATAAAACTAAGATATTACTTAATTTCAAATGCTTTTAGTTGCTTTTCGTTGTTTTTATGAATATGGATAATATTGTCTGAAAGCAAAAAAAACTTTTTTGATGAAAAATGAATTTTTAAAACAATTATTTGTTATTTCTTAAATTATTTTATTATTTTTACATTAAAGTTTTAAATATTCTAAAATTATTTAAAATGGTGTACAGTTTAGTCGATGGTGTTATGAGGTAGAGCTATCTTTACATATTATAAATTGTAAAGCTTATTATAATCAACGAACCACCAGTGTATTAAAAATCTAATTTTGCATGGCCTTTGTCTCCATAAAATGGCTGTAATTCAAATGTATGGAAGACCGTACTTAAAAACAATAGACCCATGTTATTTGAGTTACTATGAACGTTGTTCCCCTCTGTTACGGCCTTTATTTTTGCGAATTGTTTGTATGAAACACGCGCTAATTTGATTTTTCAGTTTCAACTGAGAAGGGTACCTATAAGTATTAGGTACCTATCTTATGAAATTTATATGATCTTATTTTTATATTATCTCAGTTATGACATTTTCCATAAATGAAATATCAAAATTAATAATAAAATGAATAGAAATATAAATAACACAGTAAAATATAATAAATGTACATAAAATTATAGTAATTTATGTACACTTCTGATAAAAGAAAGATACCTATAAATTAATTAGATACCTTTCTTATGAAATTTTATCTCACTCTCAACAATCTTATTTTCATTTTTTTATAATATATTTTCCATAAAGCATCGTAAACGTAAAGGTGAAAGCTAAGTACAAAAAAGAAAAACAAAAAAAAATTAGAGCACTGGAAATATTCCTTAAAAATAACGAGGTAAATAATTGGTTCACTTAAATCTAAATTACAAAACTTCCATGCTTTCGTACGACAACATTCCCTCACGTAAGCTGTTAATACGTGATGAAATTATCAGTCGCCACTTGACAATTGACACCAAATGTTAAGACCTGTTTTGTCTTATTTTTAAACTACATTTTTTCGGTGCAGAAAGTATGTAATG